AGCATTCAACATTAACCCTAACTTTGCCAGTGACCAATGCTACCTGGGACAGCAACGAGGACACAATAAATTCCTCCTTTTCTGATAATCAGGATGAAGTGAGATCATTTTAGCGCTCCGAGTACACCCTTACTACTTAGACGCTACATATATTCACCCAGCTTCGTTTTTTTCAGTTTGCGACCCCTGTTACAAAACATTCATCAGTAGAGCTATAGCAATAGACGGTATTTATTCCCCTCCCCAGCCCAACCTCAATCTACGGGTCTCCCCTAAATCCTATGAGGGTTTGGACCAATTCTAAGCCGACGCCGATTGGTTGCTCAAACGCCTCGCATCTGGGCAACACAGCCGGCTCCATTACTAGCTTAACAAAGCCGAGGAACATCGCCATACGCAATGAAGCGCACTAATGCAGCGCCGTTTAGCATTTGCTAATATCTCCTTTGACCAGCCGCTATTCTGTCATTTTTCCCTTCCGAGGTCGTCCCCATGTGCTGACTATAAACTCAAACGAACTTTCAGAACTCTTGATTTACTTTCTCCTCATAACTTCACCCTTCGTGAAAATTCGTATGGGGTTGCTAGAAACTCTGCTTACGACAGGAACTCATGGATGTAAGGATTGCGGGACCGAACTGGATTCCGTCTATCAATTACCCTGGACAGTAACAGTCTGGCAAAAGTTGACAAGATAATACGGACATGGATGATATGCTGCAAGAGTGTCTAGCCTATGACGGTTTTCGGCATTTTTAACCGTAAGTAATTTATGAATAACACAATCTCAACGAATTTAGCACCCGCGTCCAGAGGCCTAAAAACACGCAAAAGACTGGAAATCGTGCATAAGCATTGTTCATGAAGCCAGGCGTGTCTTCGCTGAGGTAATCGTATTACTGAAACGGTGCATCGGAGCGACTTCGGGTGGCCGATTATAACGCCATTTGCCTGTTAGGTCGGCTTTCGTGCGGTCTAAGCACGTGGGGTGACCATAAAGAATCGGCCGCTTTGTCGAACTGACGGGCAACCTAAGTCTTCAGCTGAAGAAGTTACTGGTTCCGCCCCGACTGCTGACCTGTGAATCTACGAAAATGTACTTAGCGCAACGGTGGTTCTACGCTGACCAGAAGGCGAGCTCATTCGCCAATCCCAAGTGTGGCGTCAGCGTCGACACGATAATTATGGTATTCGT